TTCTTGTAACCGCCCCCGGTTCTGGCTTGGCCACCTCGGGGGCGATCATTATATTGGGCCTCGCGGTTGGCCGGAGGGGGAGGCCCTCCGGGCCGATTCCTGCCTTCATTCTTCTGGGAAGGATCCGTGTTGCGGCGGTCCTTCTCGATTTCCTCCGCTTCAGCATATCGGTCCCCCCGCTGAAGGGCCTTCGTATAATCGCGGGGGGGATCAGTGATAAGGCTCCGGGAGAAGTTACCGTTGCGGAGGACGGTGTGGAAGAGGGCCATCAGGGTTCTGTCATCGGCGCCCTCGACCTCGAGGGAGGCCTGCCTCCAGCGTTCTAGGAAACTCCGAAGGGTTTCCTCCTTCTGCTGCCTGACGTTCAGGAGGTGGGAGAAGTGTTTCTTTGAGCGGTGCCTCCCGGCAAATTGCGTGAGAAAGCGGTGGGCAAGTTCTTGCCACGAATCAATGCTGCCTTCGGGCAACCGGTTGAACCACTCATACGCGGGTCCCTCCAAGGTGGAAAGGAACCAACGGCATAAGTATTCATCCGAGGCCCCCATCATCATCATGCTATTTTGATAGCGGCTATAGTGCTCTTGGGGATCCGTCTTCCCCTCATACGGCTTGATGGGTTGCCCCCGATATTTGTGAGGGATTTTGGCCGCCAACACCCTTGGGGTGAAGGGTGTTCTAGTGCGGAGTTGAATGAGGGGCTCGCCTGAGCCTTCGGCGAGTTTACGTTTCATCTCTTCCACCTGTGCCCGGAGGTCAGCGTACTCTGGATCTGGCCTCGCTGTGGAAGCCGTCGGGGGCGCCTGACGGTTCTCCTCGAGTTGACGGAGGAGAACTTCAATGATCTCGTCCTTGGGATCCTTCAGGGCAACCCCTTGGGAGTTGGCCCGGAAGGATTGCGCCTGATTGATTTGGTGCCTGGCGTCATCGGCATGGAGGAGGGCTTTGCCTTTGCTCTGGGGTGGAGGCATGCCCTCGGCACCCAAAGCGGAGGCTCCACTCTCCTGGGGCCTGCTGAGCGCTTGTTTCCCGAGGCGGTCTTGGACCCCTCGGTGCCCGGGAGCATCCCCTAGCCTCTCAAGTGCAGAGGTTCGGGGTTTCTCCTTCATCATGGGGCGCTTGTCCTTGGATTGGGCCTCTTGGGAGGCGGTATCCTGTGCTATGACCCCCTCGGCGTTGCCAATCCCCGGGGGAGGATTGTTGAACAGAGGGGGGAGTGGTGGCAATTGAATAACATTTTCTCCAGCGTAGGGCTGAAGGGGAGCCTGAGAGACGAGGGCTCCGGAATTGAGAGCCATGTTCTGAACAAAGGCCGCAAAGGCTGCCTGAAGATCGATGGTCGGGGCCGGAGGGGGAACTTGGTTCTCACTCCGATCCCTCCTTCGATTATCAAGGCCAATGCGGGCGTCAGGGGCGTTCTTCTGTAGCTGCTGACGGAGGTCAGCAGTAGCCTGTTCCAACTCGAGGATGATACCACCCTCGGGTACCAATAGCCTGTTGGAGGCCTCAGCCCCGTTAGTTTCGCCGGGGGCTACGTGGTTTTCCTCAAGGGTTTTGGATTGGGCACGAGTGGTTCTCCCCATTTTTTGTAAGTGTTTTGTATTTGGTAGAGGGGGAGGGTTTCTTACTTGATAGTTCAGACCTCTCAACGAGAGCACCAAATGATGGATAGTCTACCCGGGGGGTATCTTATCCGAGGGGTTATTGCAGGAATAACTAGAGAGAAGTCAGAGCAAAATAGGAGGAGAGAGAGTCGATTTATTAAATGAACTCAGCGTGTGGAGTTGAGGTGTAGATGATGTCGATTACAAGGAGAAAATGGGCTGCTATTTATAGCAGCAATAAATGCGATGGGAGTACACGTGTCAGTAATCCAACGACCGAAGGGTCACATCAACCGGGTGGCACTGGCAGTGGTACGTTCACCGCATTGAATGCGGTTGGCGGATGCGACGTGGCATTAAATGCGGTGGTTGGCTGTCTCTAAAAGGAATCTTCGATGATTGAGAGTGTTTGGCCGAAGGTTCCTTGTGTGGCCGAGGGCCCCATGTAGCCAAGGACCCCTGTGTAGCCGAAGGCCCCGAGTGGCAGAGGGCTAAGTTCAACCGAAGGCTTCCCTAATGCCGAAGGCTCATGTTTTTCGCCGTTTTCTCCCAGTGGCTTCGAATGCCAGAGAGGGCTACTTTGTGAGTTTCCGGAGCCTTCGGCCAAGGAGGCCGAAGGCACCCCATTGCGTATCCTGGGCTACTTTGAGGCTTGGGCCGTTGTATTTGGGCCTGAGTTGTTTCCTGGGCTCAATGAACTTGTGTAGGAGAAGTAGGAGTCTATGGGCCGGGGGTTCCTGGGCCATATACTCCATCACTCGAATGAGATGATAGTGTCTGAGTACATGCTTTGATTTCTGGTGTGATCTAGGTTCCTTGGCTTGTGCAATGGCTCCATTGTTATCACAATACAAGTCCATTGGTCCAACAATACTAGGAACCACACCGAGCTCAATGATGAATTTGCTTATCCATACCGCTTCTTTTGCTGCTTCTGAAGCAGCAATGTACTCAGCTTCTGTTGTGGAATCAGCCACCGTGTCTTGTTTAGAACTCTTCCAGCTCACTGCTCCACCATTGAGGCAAAACACAAATCCTGACAGCGGTCTAAAATCATCCTTATCGGATTGGAACCCAACATATGTGTAACCATTTACAATGAGCTGATCTTCACCGCCATAGACCAAGAATACATCCTTAGTTCTTCTCAAGTACTTTAGAATATTCTTGACTGCTATCCAGTGCCTATCACCTGGATCTGACTGGTATCTACTAGTCATGCTTAGAGCGCAAGCTACATCAGGGCGAGTACATAACATAGCATACATGATAGAACCTATAGCAGAAGCGTAAGGGACTCTATTCATCCGATCTCGCTCATCTTGTGTTTGTGGACACTGAGTCTTGCTGAGATATGTGCCATGTGACATAGGCAAGAATCCTCTCTTGGAATCTTGCATATTGAACCTATGCAGGACCTTGTCAATGTAGTTACTTTGACTTAGTCCTATTAGTTTTCTAGATCTATCTCTATAGATCTTGATCCCTAACACATAGGACGCATCACCCAAGTCTTTCATTGAGAAACACTTTCCAAGTCAAGCCTTTACAGACGAAAGCATTGGAACATCATTCCCAATGAGAAGTATGTCATCTGCATATAGGACTAGGAAAGTGATTGCACTCCCACTCAATTTCTTGTAAACACAAGGTTCCTCTTCGTTTTGATTGAAACTAAACTCTTTGATTGCAGCATCAAAACGAAGATTTCAACTTCGAGATGATTGCTTCAGACCATATATTGATCTTTTAAGCTTGCATACCTTCCCAACATTGTTTGGATGTTCGAAACCCTCAGGTTGTATCATATATACATCCTCATCTACATTTCCATTTAGGAAAGCAGTTTTGACATCCATTTGCCAAATCTCATAATCAAAATGAGCGGCAATTGCTAAGAGAATCCGAATTGATTTAAGCATGGCAACTGGCGAGAATGTTTCATCATAGTCTATACCATGAATTTGTTTGTAACCTTTCACCACTAAACGTGCTTTATACACATCTACAGTGCCATCTTTATCTAATTTCTTTTTGTAGATCCATTTGCACCCAATGGTTCTACAACCATCGGGTAGATCAACCAAGTCCCAGACTTGATTATCAGCCATGGATCTCATTTCAGATTTCATGGCTTCTAGCCAACTATCGGAGTGATGGCTCATTATTGTTTCTTGGTAGGTCAAAGGTTCGTCTTCGTCAATTAATAATACGTCGTGATGCTCAGTTAAGATAAACATGTATTTAACTGGTTCGTTACGTACCCTAGATGACCTTCTTGGAGCGAGTGTTATCTCAGAGGTATCCACAACAACTTGTGGCTGAGATTGTGGGACTGCTTGCATAGTCTGACTATCTTGATCTTCTTGAATTTCTTCAAGCTGTATTTTACTCCCCCCACTGATTCTTTCGGAAAGAAATTCTCTTTCCAAGAAAATACCATTACGAGCAACAAACACTTTGTTCTCTGATGGGTTGTAAAAGTAATATCCTTTTCTTTCCTTAGGATAACCCACAAATAAACACTTATCTGATTTGGGTTCAAGCTTATTTGAAAGTAAACGTTTTACATAAACTTGACACCCCCAAATCTTCACAAAGGTTAGACTAGGAACCTTTCATGTCCTTATCTCATATGGTGTCCTTTCTGTAGTCTTTGTTGGAGCCCTATTGAGTATGAATGCAGCGGTTTCAAGAGATTGGTAGTTCAGCGAGACTCATCATGGAACGAAACATGTCTAACAATGTTCGATTTCTCCGTTCAGACACACCATTCCATTGTGGTGAACCTGGCGGAGTGAGTTGTGAAACAATTCCACAGCCTCTTAGATGATCACTAAATTCATGGCTCAAATATTTACCACCTCGATCTGGTCGAATGGCCTTTATTGTTTTGCCAAGTTGATTCTGAACTTCATTCTGGAATTCTTTGAACTTTTCAAAAGCTTCATGTTTATGCTTCATTAGGTACACATAACCAAACCTACTGAAGTCATCAGTGAATGTTATGAAGTACTGAAAACCTCCCCTGGCCATTGTTGACATTGGGCCACATACATCCGAGTGTATGAGGTCCAATAAACCGTGAGCTCTTTCACCTTTACCAGTAAATGGTGACTTGTCCATTTTACCCAATAAACAAGATTCACACTCCTCGATTGATTCAAAATCAAAAGAGTCAAGAAATCCACCAGAATGGAGTCTTTTAATGCGCTTCTCATTTATATGGCCTAATCTACAATGCCAAAGGTATGTTGGGTTTGAGTCGTTAGATTTAAACCTCTTTGTATTTATGTGATAGATGGGCATTTCAAGGTTTAGAACATAAAGTCCATTTATAAGACTATCACTACCATAAAAGATCTCATTAAAATAAATACAACAAACGTTATTCTTTATTATAATATGAAATCCTTTATTGTCCAAACAAGAAACAGAAATAATATTCATGCTAATGGCAGGTACATGAAAACAATTATCAAGTTCTAAAACTAAGCCCGTGGGCAAATTCAAAGTAAATGTCCCTATTACTAATGCTACAACTTTTGCACCATTGCCTACTCGTAGGTCAACTTCACCTTTAGCCAACCTTCTACTCCTTGTCAGTCCCTGCACATTTGAACAAATGTGAGAACCACAACCGGTATCCAATACCCATGAAGTAGTGGTAGTAACATTTAATTCTATCACATAGATACCTGAATTGGAAGCATCACCATGCCCCTTCTTTTTCAGTTCCTCCAAATACGCCTTGCAATTCCGCTTCCAGTGACCAGTTTTGTTGCAGTGGAAACATTTTTGCTCTTCTTTAGAAGTAGAGCTAGCAACAAATTTGCCTTTACTTGAGTTCTTAACCAGGCTTTTGGATTTCTTGTTTCCACCAACCTTGCCTTTACCATGTTTCTTGAATCTCTTCCCCTTTTTGACAATCAAAACGTCACCCCGATTTTTCTTGATGTTTTGCTCAGCAGAGTTGAGCATTCCATGCAACTCGGTTAAGGTCTTCTCAAGACCATGCATATTATAATTCATGATGAAGTGGTCATATGCCGGGGTGAGTGATGCGAGAATCACATCAGTAGCCAACTCTTGACTAATTGGAGATCAAGTCTTTCCAAGTGGTCCCTATACCCAATCATCTTGAGTACGTGAGGTCAATTTAGGCTCCCATCAGTAAGCCTTGTGTGAAACAAAGCTTTGGTTGTCTCGAACCTTTCGATTCGTGCTTGTTTCTGAAACAAGTTCTTGAGTTCATTAGATATGTCATGTGCACGACGATTCAGAAACTGTTTCTGAAGATTAGCTTCCATGATGGTTAACATCAGACAAGTGACATCAACTTCATCACGGACATGCCTTTCGTAAGCATCTCTAGTGGCTCTAGGAGCATTGGCCGCTGGTTCAGCAGGAATTGGTTGGTCAAGGACATATTCTTTACGCTCTTGCCTGAGAACAATTCTCAGATTCTTATCCCAGTCCATGTAATTTGTTCCATTAAGTTTTTCCATCCCAAGGATAGATCGCAGTGAAAAAATTGTGTTGGTGACCATATTTACTACAACAAATAATGCAAAGAATTCTAAATAATGCTCAAAAATAAACTCCCACTATATTAAATAGAAAGTCCCAAATATAGCGGTCCAAGATCCATATTTCACTAAAATTTAAGTAAGCTTTGGCTTATCACTTAAACATTAGTTATTTAGGTAAACAACTCTTGTTAATCATATCCTATATGACTCTTGGTTTGTTTGGTCAACATCATTTGATTATCCAAACACTCCTTGCTTCAAGACTCAAAACCATTTTGATGGCCTTGTAAGTCCAAACCAATATCAAGACCCGAGAATGACGATCATTCAAAGCATCTTCCTAAGATAGTGTGAAATGCTCTGCTTTGGCAGACACATATCACGACTAGCATAGTTTAAATGGTGGTCATATTGGGAAAGCAATTCAGACTTATAATTAGTCGGGACTAATAATTACACACATGCAGCAATCATAGATTTAAATAAATAATTTAAAAACTAATGCAGTGATATAGCATGATCCCAAAAATCTTCATATCTCCTTGGTATCTTTAACCTGTGTAGTATACTACTAAATATCTACGGGGTTGAAAAACATTACAAGGGATAGTGGGAAACAACACGCAGGCCGTAAAACAACATAATATGAAACATACATTCGGATCATGCTATACCACCAATTCAAATTGTCCATGTGACGAAACAAAATAATTGCGCATGCACGGATTGAAAATTAAACTTTAAAATTCGCAAGTAATATGCAATTAATTCGAATCTCATCCGAAAAATGAAATACATATTAATGAATTCTAAAATTATTCGTATTATATATGTACATATTCGTATTATATATGTACATATACAGATCATATCCGTAATAGATTAATACACATATATAACTACGAATAAAATATAATGAACTAAAATTCGAATTTGGCAGAACACTTAATCAAATCATTCGAATTATAATATGGGAGAATTTGTCATGGCTATGCTTTTATTTGTGTAGAGCTCGTCTTCCCGTTTCCGAAAAGTACTTATGGGCCGAAAACGGATTAACGAGTCAAAAGTTACGGCCAAAACAAGATTGTTCGATACACAATAACAGCTCATCAGCCAGCGGTTGCAAAAATAATTCGAATCTCATCCGAAAAATTAGAAACCAAATCTCCCAAAATTAAAATAATATTCTGAATATAAACTAGATCTAATTCAATAAGAATTGAATTTTCATGTCCAATCTGATCTGTTCTGAATAATTAGGCAGTATGACTATATCCAATTCCTAATCTATTCAGATCTGATCCGTAAAAATTAAGGAATAATATCATAAAATATTCTTAACATAAATTATAAGTATCAATTTGGATCTAATTCAAACTCTTGAATTTTCATGTCTATTCAAGTCTCTTCCGAATAATTAGGCTGCATGATTCCATCCAATTCCTAATCTATTCAGATCTGATCTGTAAAAATAAATATTATCACAACAAATTCAGAATATTGTTGTGAATATATATTGGATCAAGTTCGAATCATTTGAATATCAAATCCTCACAAAAATTTCGGAATATAATATACACATATAAATTCTGAAATTAATAAATCAATAATTTCGAAATTAAAAAAAATAATTCCGAAAATAAATCCCAAAATAATCAAATTATAGATTATACATCAAATCGTGTAACCCGAATATAATAAACAACCGTAGGCTCTGTTACCATTGTACGTTGGATTTCGGGTAGAAAAACGCAATGGAATAAACGAAAAATTTACTACCCAAAAATACACAATCGGATCTGAGGTTCATATTATAAACGAAATTACAAGACTTAAGAGGGACTTACGTAGCAATCTTAATCAAGGATGTCAGACAGTCTGAGAAAACGATCTCGAGCTCTACCGGTATCCACACGCACGTGACTGGATCGGCCGCAGGGAACGTGCTAGCGTTCTCTTCTTTCTTCCTCTCTACTCTAGGTTCAAGAAGTGAATTTTAACTCTTAAAATTCGTGGGTCTATATAGCCCTATTTATAAGAGGAGGAAAGAAGAGGTTTTATGGCTAACAAAACCCTTAAAGAGGCCCTAGCCCAATAACATTTGAAACCCTATTTCGAATTGGGCTAATCAAGTTATTTTAATGTTATTAACAAACATTAATGATCCAAATCACTTAGGTGTGTGACCCTGTAGGTTTATATATTATTGGCAGTGGGCTAGAAATTAATTCGAGTCTCACAAATCATAAGCGGCCTCTAGCAAGGCATTATGACTATCCAAAATATATATAAATGTCAATTAAATCTAACATAACCTTTTAATGATTTCAAAATTGTTGGCCTCAATGGTGGGTGCACCAATGCTATTTCTCGCCACATAATTAGGCGTCAGCGTCTCTAGAGTTGTCTGATCGGTCATTTTCTCCAAGTCTTCTAGCAAACGCCTTTTAGCTCTTCCTCGGAATAAGCGTTCAGGATTAGAATAACCTGCAATTAAATCTTGTTCCTCCGAGGAGCGAGTGCGCATACACTGGTTCCTGCAGCTTAGTTCACGTGCAAAGAACACCAAAAACGACAAACAAATAACAGAAAAAAAAAATAGAAAGTCTCACCGACTTGCTTTTACCTATTCCACAGAAAAGTACTTAACAAACAACCGTGCCACTCCCCGGCAACGGCGCCATTTGATCGTTGTATTTTATAGTGAGTAAAACGTAGTTGGCTAATCCGAAGAATAACCAGACCACGAGTATCGTCTCTCAAGGAGTGGCAAAAAGGAAGTTTTAAATACAGTCCGTGATCACAGGCTAGCACAAGTCATGGTAATCTTTCCGAATAAATATTTTTTGAGTGGTTTGAAAATAAAACTGACTAATAAACTGACTAATAGCGAGTGCAAAAATAAGTAGAGAGGAAAACAAATAATTAAATTAATTCTAGATATAAAAGCAGGGTTCAAATTGGATGGTTCGGGTTCTGGGTGTTCTTTCCGGATTAGAATTAAGTAAATTAATTTTCAATTATTCCTGGACAGAAAATGAAATAAATTCTCATAGACAAGAATTAAATCATATTTCGACAATCCTAACTTATTTCTAAGATCAGATTGCTTGTATAAGACCTGAGCTAATTTAACTCAATTTCTCATAGACAAGAATTGAATTAAATCCAAGTATTCATATATGAGGTGATCAAATTCATATAGACAATTATGATTAATCTTATACAATTTTCCAGAAAATTAATTGAATTTTAAAGAACTAAATTCACACCCTCAAGAACCCATGAACCCTAGCCCCAATTCAAACCCTATATGAAATTAGCTACTCATATCTAAAACTAACATCACAATAATATTGATAAACATGATAATGAGCTAGAAATAAAAACTGAATTATATCAAAGAAAGATGGAAAAATTCTGAAATTATTAGTTGGAGACAAATAAATTCGAAATTCAATCCAAAAGCTAGAACTAGTAATGTAAAAGATAATTGAACTTACAATACTTGCTGAAATCTAAACTAGATTGGAATGAATTGAAAGAAAAGTGAATCATAGAACTCCTTAGGTCTTTTTTTTTTGCTGCTGCGTTTTTTTCAGAAGAGAAAGAACGACAGAACTGTCTATTGTTTGCTGTTCCAGAATAGAAAAAACCTGATGCGGCTAATTGTTTTCAGGAACAGAAAGAATCGTAGTGCTGCGGCTAACTTCAAAAAAAATGAAAGGAAAGAATGAATGATGATGTGCGGCTGCTAGTTCCAGGTAAAAAAACCCAGCTGATCCGTTTCTGTTTTCTTTTGGGCTGCTAAAGTGGATGAAGAAACAGCTGCAGCTTTTTTTCTTTGCTTTTTGGACTTCACTTAATAAAGTAACCCAAAAATGATTCGGCCCAAACAATATATTATTCACCGCAAATTCGGCCTGTAAAATCACAACTCACCACAACTGCTAATAACGTGTAACTTTACAATCAAATTACTCCAAAAATGTCAAATTGTGCAGAAAAATACTAAACCGAATACGAATGCCACCGGGACCGAAAATAACAAATTTTCACTCAAACCCCCAATAGTCACCTGATTAATTATAAAAATTAGACAATTAACACCCAAAATATGAGTGAAAAGATAGGAACGGAACGAGCCTATCAGGAGTTAATTTGCTGCTTTTTGTGTTTGATTTTGACATAAGAATGGAAAAACTTAGAATTAGAATCCCCATCTTTCAACCAGTGTATATGTGCCTTCTGTTTCCAGTATTTCCTTTCAAGAACATATTTGGCCTTTAAAAGGGCTTGAAAGTGAGACCAAGCTTCTCTTTTGGCTTCACTGGGGTCTTCAAAGTAGTCTTTTTCAGCTTGAGAAACCTTTTCCTCACAAATTTTGATGTCTTCAAAAATATTACCAAACACAGACTTGTTCCAAACCTTGAGATCCTGCTTTAGACATTGAAGTTTAGAAACCAGTCCACGCATGCCTCCCCCAAATAGATTTTTATTCCAACTAGTTTTCACCACCTCCATGAATGTTGGGTGCGTTAACCAAATGTTTTGAAATTTGAAAGATTTTGGACCTTGAATATTTTCCTTTCATTGGATTAGGATAGGACAATGATCAGAAGGAGTTCTTTCCAGAATATTGATCTGAATAACATCAAAACAATCAATAAGCTTAGTGTTAACCAGAAATCGATCAAGCCTTCTCCAAACCCTACCATTTGCCCTAACACCAGTCCAAGTAAACATGGAGCCCTGATATGGAAAATCAACAAAACTACCAGAAGCAATACAATCTGCAAAATCCAAAATACTGTCCGAATTTGGATTGGCTGATCCAACATGTTCACTATGAGCAGCAATGACATTAAAATCACCCCCTACAATCCATGGATCAGACATAGAAGCAGCTGTATCAGATAAGAAGTTCCACATTTGCTTTCTTGTACTGAGACTATGACTACCATAGATTGCAGTCAACCAACCAGAGTAAGACCCCCCTGAGGCTTTAAAATGGACCAGTTGAGGATGCCAAGTAACATCACTGATATTAAAACTATCAGAATCCCAGAAAATCCAAATCTTGTTGAGATCAGAATGAATAACTTTATTGAATCCTAGCTCAAACATAAAATAAACAGCTCTTGTGTGATTAACAATAGGCTCAATGACACACAAAATTTTAACTTTATATTGTCTTACAAAGGAATAAAGGCTGGGAAGGGATCCTTCCAAACCTCTAACGTTCCAGATAAGACAATTCATAAGGAAATATTGGAGGAAGCAAAAGACAGCTTCTTGATGATACTAGGATCACCAATAGCTAAGTTATCAATTGATTTGTTTTTCCTTGCTGCATTTCTTGTTATTCTGGGACTGATATTCTGCTGTCTTGCCTTTTTATGTTTTCTCCCATATGTGACAGTGGTGAACCCATCAGAGTTATCAGCTATTTGCTGGCCGCCAACTGCAGTGAGATGATGAACCACCCTGCCATGTAAGTATTCACCTTGATCTTGTAGCTGCTTGGTCATATTCTGAACAACAGTGGATATATTAGACCACCCAACCTCCCAATCTTGCAAAGGCTGCCTTATTCTTGTATACTCACCATCAGAGCAAGTCATTTTAGATTCCAGTTCAGAATCATAGTCCAACTTAGTCTTTTCAGCTTGTACCTGGAAGTCATCTTGAATAAAAGAACTCACTTTGTTGTTCAGTCCTGGTACTAGCTTCTGAAGTAGAGCCTGAAGTTCTGAGTCTTTGGCAGGGTTATATGGCTGAGCAGGTTGAGTCTCCTTTACAACCACGTCCTGAGCAGGTATATCAACATTAATAGCGTGAATAGCACCAGGACTATCAACATTAATCGTTTCTTTGCTCCCTGTAGTAATAGATACATTGCAAATCACAGGCTCCCGAGTCTCATTATATGCTTCCTCAGTATCAGTATCAGATTCATAGCCTTTGGATGTAGATGGAGCACTATGAAGCACCTTGTCCTTGCCCTTATGAATTCCAGAATTGCTGATACTAATTCCTTGTGCATTGGATTTAGAAGCCCCATTATGTTTTGTAATTTCGCGCACTCCCGTTGTAATATTTGTCCCCTCCTTATTTGTATGCTTAGCAACTTGAATCCATCTTTCCGTGACCTGATTCTTAGGCATATCTTTAGGCACGTCTTTTTGGGGTCGCATGGGACACAAACTCTCAGAATGTCCCAAGTGAAAGCAAGCCCCACAATATAAAGGCCTATTTTCATAACCAACTGATTGGGCAAAACCCAAGGAGCCACACTGAATCCACACCTTTTTAGGCATCTCTTTCGAAAGATCAACCTCAACAAATATTCGTGCAACTGAAGGTTTTGAAAGAGATGTTGTAGCAGCATCCAATTTCAAAGGCCGACCAATCATACTAGCTATATCAAATAAAGCACGCTTGTCATGAAGGTGAATCGGTAATTGTTCAAAGTTTAACCAAATGGGAACGATAGGAGATTCCACATTAGGTTTAAATTCTGGAGTCCACTTTGTAACACGCATAATGTTACCAAAGATATCCCAGGTTTGACGATTCCAACATCTAATGTAATCTTCCTCAATCTCAAAACGAATTAAAATGTGCTTACGTTCAAGTATACCCAACTGGAAAGCTCCCTTAAAACCAATTAAATCAAATGCCTTCCTAAGCGATGCCATGGGCGGACGCCCATTGAAGAAATAGCCCACAAGAGCTCTCTTGTGCTTCACCTCAAGAACTTGAGCTTCTGCATCGGGGAATGAGAGAGCAGGCATCCCCTTAAAACGAGTGATAGTCTTCTTAGAAAAAGGTGGATCTTCCGAGCCACTAACAACCGAAGCAAAAGATTTAGACCCCCAGACATTCTTCACCGGTGGAGGGGAAGGCGATCCCCCCTCCACAGCCGCAGGCACACTCATCTAGGTCAGGCCGCCGTATTCACTCTTCCCTTTGTTTAATTTTTGCATAGAGGCCGTCATGTCATCCTTGTTATTCTCAATTAATATTTCTTGATTATCAAGTAAGATTATCTTGATCAAATGACACCTCATTCGAGCATGGCCATGCTAATTAATCTTACTTGTCAAGGGGCCCAATAGATATCTTTCTCTCGATATACAAGAGTGACAAAAACTATCTTGATAATTCACATACTATTACATGGTTCATAATATGTACAATCATCACCTTTATAATTATTTATTTAAAGATAACATTTAATGATGTTAATACATATTAATTCACATGCAAGTAACCATGATTATCTCAAGTATAAGAATATAGCACCTCATCATTATTGAGGACAACACTGATGACATATAACCTAACAGTGTCCTCAAGTTGGGTCGGTCCAATGAACTTGTTCCCTAACAAGCATCTATGTTATTAATTTGATATCTCTATACCCATGACTAGTGGAATATAGCCATCAGTTAATCCACATACTGGTCTATTAATTATTAATGTCCCAAATTAGTAATATTAGACCAGGGACAATTAGAATATTATGCTTATTTTAAAGTGTAGCATTCCACAATTAAGTCACATACTTAATTAGCTACTAAACATAATATTCAAGGACTAAATATTAATAAAGAAAACTCACAATAATAATTAACATAAAATGAGTTTGTGACTTTATTAATTAATGAGCATTAAATATTTATTGATAAATCATAAACTATGATTGTCCTAGGGCATATTTCCAACAGTAATTACAATTAAATGAGCCCTTAGCCCAAATAACTAATGTACACTAAATACAAATGAAAGGGCCGGGCCCATATGCGGTCAACATTCACACATACTTCGTATTTTGTTTGTATGACTTAGGCCTTTGATGCTTCATATTCTAGTATTCTACTCTTAGACTGCCCACAACTCATGGTTGAATAAGGCAAATTTAATCTATTCACCTAAAAAAACACAACAACCCATGTATTTGGGAAGGCTAAAGTGGGAGCTAGGCACTCCTTTGGGTGGGACGATTGACTCGGTGCAGCTGGACAAAGGGAGCTGCTGCCTTTTACACAGGTCCCAACTGTCAGCTTCCTGCATCAGGTTTGTGCGGATCGAAGGCATGCGTGGTGTAGACGTCCTGGGTGTGCTGGCTTTGTCTTCGGTGAAAGAAATTAAATGGCCAGCTCTTTGGCTGGCTGAAATAAAATATTTTTAAATTTACTTTTTAAATCATAAATATTTGTAAAAAAATGTCATATAATTGATGTGTGATAATAAAAATAAGGATTTATACATTTATTTATAATAACTATCTAGTACAAGTTCGGGGTTTTTTAAATCTTGATTTTGTTTATTTCAAAATTAGTTATTTATCTTCTAAGTTGAAATAGGAAGTCTAAAAGAAAAATAACGTGAACCACTTTATTTGATGTCTTAGGTGAAGAAAGCTTACTGACGGTTATTTTGAAACACCATGTATATTCTCAAACTGCCCAGAGCAAAACGCCACTCTTGTTAGCATTTTTAATTTTGGCTGTTGGGGACAAAAAACTAAGTGGAAATGTTAATTCACCAAACACCTCAATTATCTGTTTATTTGGTCAAAAAGTCAAATAGTGATCAAATCAGCCAAAAATGGTTGATAGGCCATTAACCAAACACCCCTTATGTAAAAAGTAGGGGGATAGATATGTCTTTTACATGATTAATCGTACAATAAGAGGATTCAGCCCAAAAAGTAAGGACTATGCTACTTTTTTTGTAATAAAGATCAGCCAAATCAATTCAATTTAGTGATGTTTGGTGATTTTTTTTGGGGCAAACTATCAAATAAGCCCCCGTACTATACCGAAAAAGTCGATTAGGCCCTCGTACTTTACAAACACTCAATTAAGTCCTCAAACTATTAAAAAACGTTCAATTAAGCCCTTTTGGTCGGTAAATAACCGGTTTCCCGGTTAAATGTTACCCGTTTCCCGGCAGCCGCTGTTGCTGGGGTTCAAGCACATCGTCGCCGTCACCGCCGTTGAATCGGGAAACCGGTTACTTACCGACCGAAAGGGCTTAATTGAACGTTTTTTAATAGTTGAAGGACTTAATTGAGTGTTTGTAAAGTACGAGGGCCTAATCGACTTTTTCGACATAGTACGGGGGCTTATTTGATAGTTTTCCCTTTTTTTAGTATGTTCATGCTTTTCTGCCAATTTATGGCACACCAAACGGCCACTTAGTGTTTGCATGTTATGCCCATTGCTGGGCGTTTGCAGAGTGACAACATAATTTATCTGGAAGCACTTGCATTGGAGTGTTGACTTAGGTGTTTATTGGTCTATTTTTGGAAACTAAAAATAAATGTCACTTTTTTGTCCAAACTTCTTTTTTAGTAATATTCATGTCAAAATCCCAAGATTATACAGAGTACATTTTCCCTATAATAACTTTTCTCTTTAAAATCTTGAAAAAATTAGACACAATCTTATGATATTTTAACTACCCACAAATTAACATTACGTATCACTATTCATTTGGAAATTTTCACTAGCGGACACTCAATTGCAATTGCAATTGAAAAATCAAATTAATTGAAGCATCATGCACCCAAATTACATATCATCATTTTGAAGAAAAAGAAACATGTACGAGTAGATATTAAATAATTTAACGTTTAATAGAAAGGGTGGATTTGAATGCAATCCATCCACGACATCCCATCTTATTATTAGTCTTGGAATGACAGTCAAGTCACCCAAAACTTGGCTACTTGAAACTATAGACTCAATATTTTACTTCTTATGAACCTTAATATAAATTGTTGCCAAAACCAGCTATCACAACTCTCAATACAACCAATGTGCTTCCATCACTGACCATTTTTACTCTTTTGAGAGCCAACACCTATAGTACTTGCGATGGAATCAATCCGAAATTATCTATTTTCTCCTCTTACACGACCTAACAATCCTCTATCCCCTTGGAGTATTGTCCCGCCCTCAACTCCCAACCAACCACATTGCCGGCCTATCCTAAAACCGCCCCCGCCACCTCATCGATCTCCTCCTTCACCACTGCCACCGCCACCTCGTCGAGCTCCTCCTCCACCATCGCCACCGCCACCTCGTCGAGCCCCACCACCACCATCACCCCCACCACCACCATCTCCACCGCCACCTCGTAGAGCTCCACCACCACCATCGCCACCGCCACCCTCGTCGAGCTCCACCACCACCATCGCCAGCGCCACCTCATAGGGCTCCACCACCACCATCCCCACCGCCACCTCGTAGAGCCCCACCACCACCATCACCACTGCCACCTCAAAGAGCCCCACCATCGCCACCGCCACCTCGTATAGCTCCACCACCACCATCGCCACCGCCACCTCATAGTGCTCCACCGCCACCATCCCCACCTCCACCTCGTAGAGCTCCACCCCCACCATCGCCACCACCCCCTCGTCGAGCTCCACCCCCACCACCACCACGCGCTCCAACCCGTCCACCGCCACCGCACGTCCCAACCCCACCGCCCTCACCACCTCAAAGATTTTCTCCACCACCACCTCGTATAGCTCCTCCACCCCCAACTCAGCCCTTTTCTCCACCACCACCGCCACCCGCTCCCAATACAATCATCGTCGTCGTCTTTGCCTCGCTCGGTGGACTAGTATTTCTAGCATTTCTCTGCGTGGCAATTTGTTGGTTTCTTAAGAAGCGAAAGAAGAGAGTCATTGAAGAAGAGGATGAAGTGAGAATATATGAACGTATAAGAGTACGAGAAGACATTGCTGCAGGCCCAAAAGGAACAAAAGCAGCTGCCCTCTTAACCCTTGATGATGAGATTGATATTGAGGAAGAAATGCGGAAAACGAAAGTGGTAGGATATGGAGAAGGTTCAGGCGTCAGATCAGTCGAAAACCATCCTCAAGCAGCCATGGATATGCTCTCCACCACATATGATGATCATCATAATAAAAGCCATTAGCAATGATTTATTATTCTCTATAATAAAACGTTATACGAAGTACGAAGTATTACTTATATAAATAATCCGCTGTAATCGATTATATAATTCTTGTTTGTGCATGTACCAACCTAATTAGCATCTTTGAAATGAATTGTGATAACTAATTATTTCTTTATTCTAATGTATGAATAATAATACAAATAGTACGTTTAAATTAAATGTGAGAAGCATGAATAATATATATTGAAATTTCTATTGAAGCCACATTTGGGAGTATATACTATAGAACTTTTTTTTGGCAAATCTTTCTAACCTATGTCCCATTTATATTGTCCATTTACGGTTTACGATGTTTGACCGACAATAAAGCAAACAGATCCCTGTCCGCACTCAAATTATTTTTAGAGAAAAAAATACATATTCAGAAACTACATTTAAAGCTTTACAAAGTCGCAAAAACCTGAATCAAATTTGATTAAAAAAAAATTATATATAAAGTAAGAAATTAAGAGTGATTTGTGTTGACCAAGTAAATAGGAACTGGGACAATATAAATGGGACGGAGGGAGTATTATAGTATATATAGGGCCGTCTACAACAATATTGAGGCCCTAGACTATTATGAGAGTGTTTGGATCTGATTTTTAAAAATGTCTCTGCTCCTTCAGGGAGCAGAAGCAGAAATTGAAATGTTTGGATGAAAGTGCAGAAGTGATTCTGGTGCTCTAATTTACTCTTAGAATCAGTTTTTTTAGAAGCTGGGGGGACCAACTTCTGAAAACTGATTCTGCTTCTTCATTAAAAAGAAACAGAAGCAGAATCAGTTATAAACACCCCCTATATACCACTATCTTCGTCCCACTAACATCTAAAAACTTATAAATGCCAATGAAGGTTAGGGCATTGTAGGGATAAAAAAAATGTTGGTGTAATAGTATTGCTTAATGGGATTGTACATTATGTTAAGATATTTGTACTTTTTGGAATTGACCTGCTTTCTCCGTCATGTCTCCGTCTTTATACGGAGCACTTCGTAACTGTTTCCGTTTCCATTCATTCGCCCCTTCCATCATGGCCCTTCGCATACCCTAGAAGGGATGCATGTATTATGTATATATACCTCACCCATACATTACATCATTTCGTATGGGTAATAACAAAGAAGGTATTAAACTATTTGCAATCCACTACCCTGCAACTCCATGTCTATTTTAGCACGATTTGATTAAAATGGAATTCTTTCATCATGTGTTATTTTCCCTTTTGGTATTTTACTACTCCGTATTTGTTTTATAATAAAATTATATGTACTAAGAGTTGATTGTGGCTTAAGGCAATTTGTAGTTTTTACACCACTTCCTATTAAAACTTAACTATTTTTAGTCCATCTAAAGGTTAACTATTTAGATCTGGGATTGCATCATAGTAGGTTAATCTGATAGAATGAGTAGCCCAAAGTCAAACTACAATCAGATATGATTGACATTTTATTGTTTTATAATTTCCGGTGTGTGATAAATACTTTAACACAAATAGATATATACATTACACATATTTCACAACAAAGAATACATTGGGCACTTTTCTTATCGCGCAACGCGCGTGTAAAAACTAGTTAAGACATGAGGAGCTTGTGCAATCATTAAGAAAAGTGGACATATGTAGATAATGTTGATGTGATAAAGTAAGATAAAAGTACGAATGATTTAAAACCATACACATGATCAAATTTGGTTTGAGACAATTTTAGTGGTATGGAACTAAAAAGAAAGATAAGACAACCTTAATTAGCGGGGCGGAGGGAATATGTATGTAATACTCTACTTCGTATTAAATTTTGAGAAATCATCGCAATACACTTTTTTTTAAAAATGGTATAAAAAGTATAACATGAAACAAACACAAGTAAAAACACACCAAATGCGGCTAATATAAAAGAGAAAATTGTGCAAAATAGGACTAAATCATACAAAGTTTACCTGATTAGAACCTACTTAGTTTTTTTCCATCCGTATGCTTTATTTAGTTCTATTTTAAGGAACCTTAATTTTTGCTTCCGTTTTTACCCTCCACTTTAGACTGCTTATTAAAGATCAATAACAAGAGGCAACGACAAATCTCTCCGCAGTACCCTTTCTTCGTTCTTCATTCTAACGTTTTCTCTTCTTCTTTCGTTCTTCATTCTTCGCTCTTCCGCAATAACTTGGAGCTCAAGTTCTTCATCCTTTTAATCATCCGCGCTCACTTCTGTAGATCCAATCGTGCTCGTATGTTCCACGAATTGTTCTGAAGCATCCGGATTGTTCGCCAGCTCTCAATTGATTCGACTGGTTCCCGATTTGGGTTAGTTTTTCTATGTTTCTCGTACACTTATCATCTATCTCTTTTTATGTGGACATATATTGATTTCTATCTTGGATTACCCCTTTTACCATTGTCTCCTAGAAAAGGGAGATGAAATAATATAAGAGATTTAGTAGATTTCATTTTATTTTGATATTTACCTCTAATTTCATATATCACAGGTTTGTTAGTTCTAGAAATCTAGTCTATATATGATATTCTATAAATTCTTACTATTAATTTTCATGACATTTATTCTGAGATTGCTAATTTTTATTATAAATTTTCAAACTGGTATGATGTGTATCTCCTGAGCTGAGATGAGTGTATTATGATTGTGCTTGAGCTGATTTTGAGAGTTCTCTCTTAATAGGTTCTATGGCTACGCAGATGAAAGAGTATGTCCATAAAGTTTCTCTTGAAAAATTGCTGGTGAAGCAAGACCTTACTCACGTAAGTGGTACGCAATTGTCAGTTGAGAGAGTTTTTATTACATTCTCTGCTATTGTGGTATTATCAGAATTTATTGTCTATTTACTGACTACTTATTGTCTATGTATTGTCTATTGTTTGCAAGTTTGATTTTGTTAATCTCAAAACAAAGTATGTTCATGTTGTGAGTTTCATCTGGAATAGTCCACAAGTGTTCATGGCATTTGAACTGTGAGTCAAAGTCAAGGATTGTATTGATATGATTACACATGAGTGAGGTACTATTTATAGTCAAGGATTTGCTTTACACATGAGTGAGGTACTATTTATAGTGTGACTGGTCGGTAGCGGATGTGTTCTATTCAAGGGTGTTCATGTGAGCACCCAAAAATAGAACACACCAATAGGAATATATATGCATGAATTTGAAAATAGTTTATTTATTAGTGTTGTAAGGAGAAAATGTATGATTTTGGACACCCAAAATATGATTACTAGGTCCGCCATTGCGGCTGGTGCACTTCATTGATTCTTACTTTGATGGGAACTTTCCTAATTACGTGCAGTCCATAACGTGCAGCCCATCTTAATGTCTCACACGTCAATCCTTTGATATAAAAACAACGTATACATTCAGCTAGAATATAGAGTTGCGTCAGTGTTCAAGGTGTAAGAAATGAGGACGAAATGGATATGGGATAAACTGTTTTTTGAAAGAGATTAATAGAGCACTTACTCTAATGAATGACTTTGTTGCCAAACCATTGGTGATTGAACAGGCTGCACGTGAGGTTTTTTTTAGAGTATGATCCTCTGCCTCTAACTAATTGGTTGGTTGATGATTGTCCTCACTACTGTGAGACAGATTTCTCCATTTCGAGAGCTTTGTTAGAATCTGATATTGAGCATTTGGATTCCTTTGATAATTCTAGGGAGCTGGTTTCTATAGATGAAGATAATAGTCTTGAACAATCTTATGGGCTTAGTTCTCTTAAGGATTTCTTTCACATGGTAACACCAACATGCCTCACATGTTTGCTGATTGAAGATATATGGTTAATGAAGTGCTAATTGAAGACAAGAGGTTAATGAAGTGCTAATTGAAGACATGAGACTGCTGAAGTGCTGATTATACTCATACATCTATTTTTGTATTCAAAAGAAATGTATAGACTTTTATGTTCATATTCATGTGAATTGTATTGTACCCTAATTTGTACCTATGCATGAGAAATATATCTAAATTTCATTTCAACATTTGAATCTATCAAATTTCATGTTGCTTCATATTTCTGTAGTAGAGTTTGTACTTATATTTATGCTTGAATGAATTTAATGTCTATGCATGAGACACTAAGAACTTTTTACTGTCTACTTATGGACTGTATTGCTTACTTCAACCAGGATTATAAACCAACTAAACACTAAATAAGAGTGACAAAGCATTTGATATGCCACTAAAAAAAGATTACATATAGTCAAATCAATTGTCACCAATATTAGGAACAACGTTCAATGACCAAAAGAAGGAATTTGACATGTTTTTTGTTTCCGAACATCCTAATCCAATTCCAAATTATTACAAAGCATTGTAGTCTAACTACTTCCATCTTGATGCATACAACAGTTGCTCCGTCGTCAATTTTAGCGGTGGCTATCAACTTCTTCAATTCCCTCAAAACTTCACTCAAATCTTTATCCATTATGAGAAATTTAGCAAATTTAATGACAAACATACCACAATTATCCATGAACATGTTTAAATATAAAGGTAAGCATTTATAATGTATTAAGATATTTAAAGAATATCAAAATACACACAACATATACCGATCATCATGTTATGGACGATTACAGAGCACATCAATACGAACTGATATTTTCTAAATTAATGTCTTATTACGGACTGATTAATGCTCATAAGTAGACCTTAATCAAAATCCTTTGTTTTCTCTTGTGAATAATGATTGAACTTCTCGAGGTCTTCACCGAGTAATCTGATGAACCAGTCATGAAGCTCAGGGGGTTGCTATGGATGGAATATGTCTCAACTGCTTCTGTCACCGAGTGGGTTAAAAGAGGAAGAGGACTGGGCAGGGAGAGACTTGAGTAGCCTCCTCGTTGTCACCACAAAGGGAAGGAATTGATGGAGCAAATTGTTTTGGAAGATGAAAAGATTTGGAAGTTGTCGTTCTTCGTAATTGATCGCGTACTTCCCAGCCAAATTTTCCGGTTGAGCTTTCTGCAAATTTTTCATCGAGGGTTGAGGGGATATTCGATCCAAATGGAAGGTGTTCTGCTCCGTAATTAGATTTAAGGGTAGTTTGGTAAAGAAGGTGTAGCTCGGTTCTACGGTAATCCTTGGTCCTAAATTTGAAAAGTTGTCATGTTTAAGTCTTATATGGATAATTTCCCCAATATAAAAACAGTAATTCTTTGAATGTCAATAATCCAGAGTCGCCAAAAAATATACTTCCTATAG